GTACAAGTTGCCCCCAGGGACATCGCGCTTTGCCTGCTCATGATATATGATAGGCAGTCCTGCATGAATGAACATTGTGTGCAGTACATACACTGAGCATACATTCAACGATTCCCCCCGACCTCCCTCAGAGGACCTCGTCAAAGTCCTCCCCCTCGTCATCTTCATCGTCGTCATCGTCATCGTCATCGTCGTCTTCGTCGTCATCGTCGTCGCCTCCTCCTCTTTTCTCCTTCCTGACGCTGCCAGAAGGTACGGCCAGCTTGTCCTTCCTCTCCTTCTCCTTGGCTTCGGCCTCGATCCTCTCCTTCTCCTCCTCCTCCTTCCTCATATTCCTATACTCGGGCTTGAGGCTCCAGTTGCCGACGTAGGGGCCTCTCTTGTGGAGGTCGGCGATCCCCAGCAGCGTCTCTCTCAGGTACGACTCGGGTTGTTGCGTCTCCCCCCTCAGCTTCTTGAGCGACCAGTACGACCACTTTTCGAAGAGCGAGAAGAGAAGGTCCAGCAGCTCGTTCTTGGGCATCCTCGCGAACTTCTCGGTACCCCCTCCTCCCGAAGTACCTGAACCGGACGGCCTGGCCTTTTGCTGCGCCATGACGGTCGAGAACCTCGACTTGGCACCGCCAAGGCCCCCGACACCCGCAACGAGCATGTTGGTCCTCCCCGCGTCGCTGTCGTCCAGCATCTTGATCGTCCGCTTGGGCCTCGAGGCCTCCTCCCTCCTCTTCCTGAGCAGCTCCCTGTATTCTTCCGAGATGCCTGCTCCCCCACTTAGGCTCATCCCGACCTTTTTATCCCCGACATTGGCCACCCTAATCTGAGGTTGGAGTGAAGCCTCGTTCGTCACAGTCCCCGCCAGGGCGGTGATTCCTGTTCAACGTCGAGGGGCCAAAAGTGAGAAGTGAAGAGCAAGTAGTGAACGCATCAGATCCACGCCTCGAAGTTTGATCGATTCCGCGATTTGACCTCCCATTTTTGCTCATGCTTCGTCTTTCCATATATTGAAATTTTACTTTTCAATCTCCCCTCTTCTCTCTACTCACGTCTGCCTTTCCCCTTCTTCTTGGCCTTGGCTTTGGTATGCGATGCCAGATCGTCGTCGTCTTCGTCGTCGTCGTCGTCCATCTCGCGACCTCCCTCGACCATTTCTTTGAACGCATAAAGGTTTCTCGCCTTGGTGGCCATCGAGTCGGCGGTCAGCCTTAGGTCGTAGGCCCTTGGAATGTTGTCCCAAGGTTTGGGACCACTTCCTGCCGAGGGGTCCCTGGGGACGGGTGGAAGCGGATTTTGAGGAAGGAGGAGCTCCATCCTCTGGTGACCGTTGTGATCCGGATCGTAGACCCTGACGGTTCCGAGCCTCTTGTCGTCCGCCTTGACGCTGCTCCAGCCCTGCATGAGAAACTTTGGCACCTTGACGAGCCAGACCTGGTGCTGACCCAAGGAGGTGTCCAGATCCTCGTCCGGCTCTGGAGAGAGCCTGGCGTTCCTTTTGGCCTGGAGCTGCTCATCTTCATCTTCATCCTGCGTCTGCTTGCGTCCCCTCTTTCCGAGGTGGCTCTCCTGTTGAGGTTGGTTTAGGATCGCGTTGTTTTGTGAGGAAGAGGCCTCCGCTATGGGTTCGATGTCGTCCTCGTAGTTGGACATTGCGGAAATTGGAGGAAGCGAAGACGGGAAGGGATGAAGATGTGGAGTGGCCAAGACGGATTCGAGCGAAGGAGGAAAGCGGAAGCAGCTCGGCTCTCCTTTTGAATTGGTATGGCTGTGGCTCCTTGAAATCGGATGGGATGCTTGATGGGATGGGGGCGTGGGTGTTGGAGGAGGTGGACGGGTGACCAAGAAGTGGACTTCCGATTGCCGAGAAGTGGGGAGTGGGCAAGCGCAGAGAGCATCGTCAAATGAAAAAGATCGTTTTGAACTGTGAAATGATCTGAAAGGGGTTCGTGTCTTTTATCTTCGATCACCTGTGACGCTTTCCTTTTCCTTGAACCACCCTGGCTTCTTGCGTGGCGGTGCGTGCGCTGCTGCTCATGGTGATCTCCTTCCCCTCTCTTAACCCCTCTCCTCTCTCACTCTCTCCGCATCTCTTTTCGCCCCCTCCTCTACCCTTTCAACTCTCGCCTGTTTGCACACCAGCGCATACAAGCACACACGATAGAAAGGTGAGTGCCTTCGGGCGGCCAGTTGTGCCAGATGTGGCAAGGAAGAGAAGGCAAGGCGAAGCAAGGGTCGGTCGATAAGCCTAGTCTCAGCAGGCGGGTGTGGAGCGAGTGGGTCGGCAGGCTTTTCTTCGATTCGAATCAGTATGCGGATAAGAAGGGATGGGGTAAAGAGATCCATCCGATCCCAGTTCAACCACCTCTCTTCACAACCACTCCATCCCATCTCATCCTCGTAGTCACATCTTCTCACCGTCATCCATCCATCTTCCCGTTCCCCTCGGACCGAAGTTTGTTGCCTTTCAAGCCATCAAATCGAGAGAGGGCCATTCGTGTGCTCCTAACTTCCTAGAGCAGATCGTAATCAACCCACTCCCAATCCGTCAAGCCCAAGCTCAGCCCTCTGTATCCCTTGTACCCGTCAATCTCTCTCTTTTTTTTTCGGAATCCAGTGGAAAACGGGCAAAAAATGGTAAGCAGCTAATCACATACTTTTCTTCAGCCTCTTTCGCAAAAGGTTCGATTTTCACACACCAACTTCCCTTCCCCACCCGATCACCTTCTCTAACTCTACCTCTTCCTCCCATTCCTCTTCGACAGGCACGACCAGCAGCATCCACTCCCCACTTGGTGTGGGCGGCAGGTCATTTTCTTAGTTTCCTCGCGGGCCTGCGTTACCTTTTCGCTGTGACCACCTTCTCGGCTTCCGGTCTAGGAAGATGGTACACGATCGCCTACTTTGGCGCTATCACCAGCTATTGCGTGGTGGTGTACAAGTCTTTCGGGGTGAGTCAAACCGATCTGACTTCCCTCTGGAATGCATGCCTTTTCAAGAATCCGAGGAGACAATCTGCGACTACTGAAATTCGCTTCTTTTCAGTTGAATGACTGAATGGATTCAGCTGTATCATACCGTATGGTAGATCATTGGCTGACCTCTTTGCGACTACTGTCCCAACCTTGACTCTCTCCAGGTCCCACAAATGAACAAGGCCTACATTCAGAGGGCGGCCATGGATGAGAACGTTCAGTACCTTCTCCTCGCTCTTTATTGGTGGTTCAGCAAGCCCATTTTCCGTGAGTTGCATGCCCCCCTCGCCCCCCCCCCCCCCCCCGATTCTCGTGAATTCGCCTTGTCTTGTGGACGAACCCTCTTTAGCTGACTCGGTTTTCGGTCCCCACTGAATTTCCACCTCTCTTGCCTTTGTTACAGTGACTTTGATCCCATACGTCACTTTCTCCCTTTTCCACGTTCTCACCTTTGTGCGAACGACCATCATCCCTATGGCGTTCCCGGCCCCCGCGCCACCAGCGGGTGGTAGGACGGATGGCGCCGCTCCAACCCCTCAGACGGGGCCAGCAAAAGCTGCCAAGTTCATCCAGGGCTGGGTTAAGGCCAATTATGATCCAGCCATGAAGTTTGTAGCCTACGCAGAGGTCGCCATCTTTGCTAGGGTCCTCTTTGGGGCCCTTCTCTTCAGGAACAGCCTCTTGGCTCCGCTCTTCTACGCCCACTTCCTCAGGTTGAGGTTCTACATGTCGAGCTTCACCCGCGCCGCTTTCCAACACGTCAGAAGCGTCTTGGACGGTTACACCCAACACCCAAGCTGCCCTCCCGCAGTGAGGAATGGCTACCTCACATTGACCGACCTCGTGAGTGGCAGTGCGCGAATTTCTTCCTCTATCAACTAGTCTCCCCAACCCGAGAGATAGCTCCTTTTTCCACAACTTTACTGATTCAAGTCCTTCACACCTTCCTTCACGCCTTCCGTCCATCTGTAGATCTCTCGTTACGCGAGCTCGGTCCTCAACGTCCAGAACCAAGGAGTGCCACCTCGCGCCGACGGTGCCGCTCCTCCCGCCGCGGCGGCCGGCGCCGGTGCTGGTGCTGCTCCGAGACGCTGAGGAAGATGGGAAGAACATGGCGTGTGCGAGGAGAACGGGTTCCCAATCCCTCTCCCATCCCCTCCATGTTCCCGACGGAATGGCTTATCAGGACAGGAGCCGTGTCCCGGAAGGAAGAAAATGAAGAGCATCCATCACCCCTCTTCGGGCTTAGTTGCCAAAGACCTTTAATAAGATTGTATCCTTGCACCCTTTTTGCGTTTCCCAAGAGTAAAAGAAGGAAAAATAGGTTTCATTGAGGGGGAGTCAGGTTGTTGGAGAAGAGCTCATTCGTAGTTTGAGAAGGGTTGGGACTATCGGACCAGGAGAAGCGGAAGATGACAGACCAGTTAACCCGCTCGGTCCATTATTTCCCCTAAAACAAAAAATATTTTACTTCTTTTTTGGTATCACAAGGTCCAGAGAGCTCTCGCTTGAGCTCCGAAGCGATGCCGGTTGCGATGCCATCCCCTGCCAACATTTCGATAGGATGACTAGAAGACGGAACGAAAGCTGAATCTAACGCGGCGGAACCACCCACTCCCTGATCCTTTTTTTGTCCACCATTTTTCGATATTTTCAGATCACCCGCCCGACTCTTCCTCTTTCGTTTCCCTCTACTACCACATTTTCCCCCCTCTAAGATTTTTTGTTGCACTACCCCCCCTCCCCCCCACCCCCCCCTCCCCTGAACCATAGTAAGCAGCGGTATTTGAAGTCGTCGTAGTCCAGTTGAAAGGAGGTAGTTACATGTGTTTTCACCCAGCTTTTTCCCTGTCTGGACTTTTTTGTCTCCTTTTTTTTGCTCTGTCACCTCGCACGACGACCGAATACGTTTGAGAATCAAGTCCTCAGTACTGGCTTCGAAAGGTTTCGCAACAAACAGTAGAACGGAAATGAGTAAAAAGGAAACATTGAAATGGATGTTGATAAATGAAGCAAAGAAAAGGCAAAAAGAAATGCTCCCTACTAGGCTCGAACTAGTGACCTTCCGTTGTATGGATATGTGATCTGACTGTTCGTCAGGCATGTCTTTATTAGACGGATGCGATAAACCAACTACGCTAAGGAAGCTTTGATGTTATTCCGTCACGGAGGTGTATATAACAATGTAGTATGATCGAATTCATTATTTGAATTCCGACAAATATTCTGAGATCGAAATCTTAAGCTACACGAAGAGAGCAGAATGGATGCTTGACCCAAGACGGGCTCAAAACTGACCCATCTCATCAAACGTGCTGGAATCATAATCGGAACCCAAATAGGGGAACAAATATTCATACCGAGGACTGGAAGGAGACGACGAGCTCCGGGACGGTCTCTTCCTGGGGCAAGTCGAGGAGGTTGAAGGTGAGGTTGTAGTAGTGGAAGCCGTTCATGGAGGAGGACTTGTCGTAGGTGAAGCTCCTGTTCTGGAGGGTGGCCACGTTGCCGGAAAGTTGGAGACGGATGTTGGGAAGGGAGTCATTGGTGGAGTTGGAGGAGAGGAGGAAGTCGGAGGGAAGTTGAACGCCTGGGATGGTGGAGAAGAGGAGGGTCAATTGGGAGGGCTTGGTGTAGTTGGCGGGGAAGGCGGTTGAGGCGGGGAATCGAACGGTGAGGTTGGTCGGGGAAGCGATCGAGGAGATGGTCCCCGTGGTCGGGAAGAGGGTCATCCATCCCACGAAGGGTTCGGGGTACCTTTTGTATTGTCCCGTCGACGTCTCCCAGAGCAAGACACCAGGACTGAAAGCCTGGGTGCTCTTAGCTGGGCCGCCGATGTCCACCTCGTCGATCTCGGTCCCGCCGACCGAGATCTTGGAGCCGATGTATGCAGTGTAGTTCCTGGGACCGAATCGAGAGACGTCGGCGTCGAAAGGTGGAGAGTAGGCGTTTGCTGTGACGAGACGGTCCCCCGAAAAGGTCGAGAGTCGCTCCTTGGCCTGCTCCGAGACGTGAGGGTCGTGGAATCTGGAGGTGATGGCCATCAGGGGACCGAAAGCTCCGTCGGCAAAGTGCTGAGAGGCTCCCATCTGGTAAGGGTTGGGCCATGTCGCCGGCTTGGAAGGGTCCTTGACGAGAGCCGCCACGTAAAATCCCAGCAAGCTGACGTACTGGGTCATGGAGAAACCGTAGGTCCGATCCCAGCTCCCGCCCAGCGTGTTCAGGTTGGCTTGGTAGAGCTGGGACGTCTTGTCCCAGATCTTGGTTATCGTCTCTCCCGCCCTCGAAGCCATGGTCGTGTTCTTGGGCAGGTAGCCGGCCAGACTGAGCGCGTAGAGCGAAACGCCGACGTAGGTGGGGCTGTTGAACTCGGAGAGCGTATCGTAGAGGTCGAAGAGCTCGAAGAACTCCTTGGCGTACCTTTCGGCATACGACGTCATGTTCCAGTCCTGCTTGAGGTTCCCGTAGTAAGCCATGGCCATGCAACGCATCAGCCAGGGGTTGGAGTAGGCTGGAGTGAGGTTGTCGCCGTCGACCCCGAAGACTCGGTACGTGTCCCCGACGACGGCCCGGTACCCGGATTCGACCACCAGGTCAAACGTCGCCTTCGGCATGAGATCCTTGAACTCCTCGATCGCCACCATGAAGGCGGTGGCGACAAAGAGGTTCGAGTTGGGATCGAAAGAGCCGTAGATGCTAGGTGGGTAGATCTCGCTTGGGTAAGGCTGGCTCGGGTCCAGGAAGGCTCCATACCAGTTGTCCGTCTCATTCTTCCACTGGGCCTCGACCGAGTTCTCGATCAGCTCGCTGGCCAGTTCAGCATCCCCCGGTCCGTTGCGGGCCAGCATCGAGACGGCGTAGTAGGCATTGTACCTCGGAGAGCCGAAGAGGAAGGGAGGTTGGAAGCTCCTGTCCAAAACATCCATCGTCACGTCAAACACGGCCCGCTGGCCCGCGCTTAACGAGTCGAGGAAGCTGGAATTCGAAGGAGGGGAAGAGGAGCCGGATTTGGGCGACATTAGATCAGCTGTGGCCGACCATAGCTGATCAGTGTCCTCCCATGATGATGGAGTTGACTGGGGGAGGGCCGAGGTGATGCCCGATAGGACGCCGACGAAGGATAGGATGGCAGCCGTTGGATTTACCATTCTAACCCGTTCTGAAATGGCGGAGGATTAGTGAGCGTAAGGGGGGTGTGGGGACCAAATGTAAGAAAGGTATCTGTAACTTGGGGTCTCTTCGTTTCAGGAGGGAAGGAAGGACACGGTTTGAAAGCCATGGTCTTTATACTGATCAGCTTTAGAACCAAAAGCATCTCCGCACACGGTGTCTCTCTTTCTCTCTCTCTCTCTCTTTTCTTGCGGTTCCTACAGGATCGCCCGGCGGATAAATGAGGTGCCATGCGACCGTGATGGAGTTCCCAGGGGTGCTCTCTGTCTTACGACCGCCATCTCGGGTGGGAAGGGAGGATCCAGTTTAGTGGGTGGGCGGGGTCAACATTCATATGCAGGTGGGGGATTTGTGGGGGAGTGGTTGGGGGATCAGCCAAATCCCAAGCACTGGCATGGATGTCAAGCAAAGGCTTTTGCCCCATCACACCCCTCCCCGCACCCCACCTCCTAGGACCCCCCACAGTCATCTCAAAGGTGAACCAGTCCGTCAAGCCCTCATCTCTCGCGCACATGTTCAAGGAACAGCAGGCTTGTGCAGCGTCAGCAGGGTATTGCACAAAGAGTCAGCTATAACCCAGGACAGTCACCCTAGAAGCATGTGATGGTGGTGGCTTTTTACTTTTTACTTTTTTTGTTTTACTTTTCTTTCTTCTTTTTATAAAGAAAGGAGGAAGATCGTGCCGAGCTCGGGAAGTAGGATTCGCTTGCACGCTCCAGGCTCACTTATCCGTGCTCTTCACAACTGGGGTGCGGATTTCCATCCCCCCC